ACCTGCTACAAACTGTTTAGATGGAAATTTTTCAAGCAGCCACAGTCAGGGTATTGATGTGAGAAAGGCAGTGGCAGAGCTGCAGGCAGGAATAGGAAATGTGTGCTTGGAGAGTTGGGGAAGTTCTGCTCTGCTTGTGGTTTTGTTGGTGTTATAGGTGAAGCGCAGCAGTTTGGCCTCTCCATGTTTTTAGGGGTTTTGGGGATGTCTAGAGTGGAGACATCCTGTTGTATCGCAGAGGTTGGTTTTCTGTGATAACATGAAGGTTTACAAACCCTGATACGTAACGTGTGTGTCCGAGTCTCTTCAGGAAAGCCACTGGCAATGTTTTTTTTAAGGCACGCGTGTACTTCGAGACCCTGCCCACAAAAGTACATAAGCTCTTCATTTCCATTAAAAAATGTTTGCCTAAATACCTTCTGAGGGTCTGGGTTTTGCCAGCTGGTATCTAGGTCTTATCTGTTCCTTCAGGCATTTAGATATCTTTAAGCTGCCTGGCTCTCAGTTCCCAGTGGCTTCAGAGGAGAGTAGGGATGTGCCTGCTGGCTTTCCTAAATAGAGATGCTTTCCTGGACCAGGGCTAGATCAGTGTTCTTGGTGTGGCTTTGACGGATTACCTACAGCTCTGACAACCCCCTTCCCCCAATTTCCATCACTGTCTTATTTATGGGGAAATTGAGTCCAGGCATATGAAAATCATTTTTCATTTTTATCAGTTTGGCTGGAAAACTCAATCTGCTCCTATGCGAGGGCTGGTGCAAATTCAGTGCTGCTCGTAGGCAGCTCTTGGTCAAGAGGTGAAATGAGGGGCTTGAGGCTGGATTACTGCATAGAATATTAGAATATCTCATGTTGGAAGGGACCCACAAGGATCAACGAGCCCCACTCCCTGCTCCTCTCAGGACTAGCTAAAACTGGTGTGCTCCATCCTGCTGGATGGGACCTGCTGTGTTTTTCAGGTGGTCTGGAGAGTGTTTTGGGATCTACGTGAGCTGAGATCACCCATGGGTTTTTAAGCAATGTGTTTCCCTGTGTCAGGCTAAGTCTGCAGAGGAAGTTTTGGAGATCTGCTTTAACTAGTGTTGATTAATGCCAGGATGATGGTAAGGAGGGTATGTGTGTCCCTGCCACGTGGAGGGAGGGTCCCAGCACCTTGGTGTGGGCCTGGCAGAGGTGACTCTGGAGATGCATGAGGCGGCAGGTGTTGGTTGCCAACACAGCCAGACTGGTACACTGGTCAAACCTCACCCTTCAAAACTCCTTTTTCCACCCCAGAAGGCTTGACTTGTGGCAAAATGAATGCTTCCACATAAAATGTCAGGCCTCTTTTTGAAAAAAGCTCCAGTTTTAACTGAAAAACCCAAAAGAACCAAACCGGAAATGAAAATATTTGGGCTGGAAAACATTCCTTTCCCAGAAATTTTAAAAAAAAAAATCAGGCTGAATTGTTTTGCTTCCCAGGTTTGTTTTTTTTTTTCCCCTGGGAAACCATCTACCCTTCATTTGACAGAGGAAGAAAGAGATAGGCAAAATAAATCCATGGCGATCTCAGCCAAGCTGATCTGGGGGGGATATTCCTTCCTGACCTTAAAATCAGACATCTGGTAGCCCCAAGTACTTACAGGATGCTCACCCAGCTACTGGGGTGGTTTTGCAGCACCCCAGGACTCCACCAAAGTCCTTTAACCACCTTAGCTGTGAGGGAGAAGGGAGAAGATGGATAGGAAGTCATCTCCTCAGGATCAAAGTCACTTCAGGCTTAAGAAGCAGGGATTAAAGTTTTACCCATGGCTGTCCTGGTGTGGGTTTGTTGCTGACCAGGCTGTGGCTCTTTCATGCTTTGATAACCCAGTGAGGAGGAAGGGTCCTGGTTTCTTCCTCAGCTCTTCTAGTGGAGATATAAAAGGCAACTCCCTTGGTTTGCTTTTCCCCTTGTCTATGGTTGAATAACTGTTGATGTTGTTTGCTAAACAAGAGCGCCGGTGGCAGAGGAATTAGAAGAAATCCCTTCTTAATTGGAAACAGTGAGTCTGTGTATTTTTTCAGTTGTCTATTTTGGGCCTTGTAAAATTAAAGTTATTAACTGTAATGCAGCGGTTTCCAGATTCCCACAGCCCTTTACAATAGCAGGGAAATTCATCCCAGGTCACTGGGAGCCTTTAATGAATACATTAAGGCTTATTATTAAAATAAAGTACTTGCAGCTTTATGGGAGACATCTGGCAAGGATGCTTGTCTCTCTGAAGGCTCCCTGAGTGTCCTCTCCCAGCGTGCACCACGTTTGTCCCGGCAGAGGCTTTCAGGAGCTGTTCCCCACACAAGGATTCCCACAGGAGGCTCTGGGAGACAGAGAGGGCCTTTGCTGTATGTGATGGAGGGTGGTTGGGCCAGACCTGCCCCTGTGATCGCTCCACTGATGTCTCTGGAGCCGACCAGCCCCTTGCTGGTGCTGCAGGTACCGGTGTGAGCCCCGCTGGGATGCTCCAGCTCAGCAGAGCAGATGCACCGGGGTAAAGCTGCTTCATTCACCAGGGTGATGTGCAGGCTGAGCCGAGTCTGGGCTAATCCCAGGCAGGGGGCGAAGAGACTGGGCAGAACCAGCTGACCTGGCACAGGCAGGGTCAGCTTGGAGCCAGCTGCTGGCCAGCTGTGCTGGTGAAAGCACTGAGCCAGCAGGGTGCTGCAGCTGATAAGGGGCTTGGTATCGCCTCCGGTGAGCTCACTGGTGTGGCTGCACCCATGCGGCGCTGTGTAGTTACATCATAAACCAACTCCTTGGTGCTGCACGGAAAGCTGGGAGCCGAATCCTTGGGGTTTAGGGCCAGAAAGCATCCCAGGCTCCCTGGGCTGGCACCGATGGGAGCAGGTAACTCGCAGCCAGGGCGTTCGCGTGCCGATGAGAGCGAACCGCGGCCGGCGGGGCTGCGAAGGGGTCTGGAATGGCTGTGATCTTATCGCTGCTTTATCTCTATCCAGCCTTGATCTCGGCAGAAAGCGGGGCCACGTGGCAGTAATTGTGTTAGGAAAACAAACTAATCTCCAAAGGGACAGAGAGCAGCTGTTGGGCTCTTGGTGCTATCAGGGAAATGGATGTGGCCTGCCAGCTTGCAGCGCTGTTCTGCTGGAGCAGGGGCCAGGCAGGGGATGGAGGGGGCAAAAAAGGGATTAGAAGGAACTTTGGGCTGCCAGGCGAGACTGAAGGAGTGTTTGTCGTGGCATAAGCTGCCCAGTGTTACCTGCCCTGCTTTGTCAAGAAGCCCTTTGCTTGCCAGAATGTTTGAGAGGCATGGTCTGGTGGATCAGGTATCGGAGTAGGGAGAGCCAGGTTTAACCTTGGCAGATCCCTTATCACCGTCTGCCTGATGTCTCCTTTGTGCTCTGTGTCTAGTTGGGCAGCAGGTTTGCAGAGCTTTCTCTTAGTGTTCTCCATACAAGACTTGCCCTGTGCCCCAGGCACCCCAAACCCTGCTGCTGACTGTGGCTGAGCTGCTTGTCCTCCCTCCCTACCCCACTCCCACTTCTTCAGTCTGGTCTGGGAGTGCACAAGGTCTAGCTGGCAGGGCATCACTACAGGCTTGAGGACCTGGAGAGATGGAAAAAACTCTTGGAGATGCCTCTGGAGATTGGGCTGCAGCAGGAGGAGCCCTCCTCTGCAGCCTTTGCCCAAATTTGCAGGGGAGAGGAAACATGCAGTGGTCAGTCTGGTTTGGAGCTGGTTATCTCCTGCAAAGCCATAGGCAAGAAATTAATTACAATGATCCTACAACTGCTGTGCTTGGCCCTCCCCACAACTCTTCTCTGTGACTGTGTCTCCAGCCCAGGAGCTCAGGCAGGAAAACACTATTTCCCCCCTAAATCCGGAGTGTGAGTATCTTTGGGGTGGTGGAAGACAGGGAGAAAAGCAAGTGGCAAAGGCAGATCAGCCCCACAGGTTACACATGAACCCCCCCCCCCCCACCTCCCCAAAAAGCTGAATCAAGCCCCTGGCATTGAATAACCCCAAATTTGGGGAAGGTTAAAATCCACCTCTGAAGTGTCTGGCTCCAACCCAACACAAACATTATTGTTGTTTCTGGATTATGTAGTTTAGCAGAAAAGAAAGTCCTATCATTAAGTAACACCAACAAGATACACACTTGTGTCTTGTATTTAGTCTGTCCTACATACTCTACTAAGGCTCCAATTGACTTGAAAAATCAAAAAAGCCCAGAATTACACAGCTCCCAAAAGTTTTCCTGAAAATAAATTTTTGCCATGTTCTGCCCTGCAGTTAATTAAGACTTCTATTAAATGTTGACAGGAGCTTGATAATGTAATATGTTGCAGCAGGCTCTGTTCGTGGTGTTATAATTATGGCAGTAAAACAGTTTCCATTATAGCCCTTCTTTTCATAAGCTCATAACTTTTGAAAACATTCACTTTTCAGGTTGAAATTTTTGCATGCCTGGCCCTTACCCAGTGGGGAATTTTTTTGGAAACTCTGAGAAAAAAAAAAAAACATGTAGTCTTTTTTGAATTATGGGGGAGAAAATATGAGCTTTTTTCAGCTGGAATATAGGTGAAGGGGAAAAAGGTAATGACATGTTTTTTCTAAATAGATGGATAGTAGAAGCATGTGATACCTGATGCTTGCTTTGGAAATGGATAGGCTAGGCTTTGCAGAGTGCCTGGGGCATGTCCCATCCAAAAAAAAAAAATCCTATCTCTGACTTAAAAGCCTTGATGAAGCCAATGACAGAGCCTCAAGAGAATCCAGTTGTCACCCATGAGAAGTGACTCTTGGTTGCAGGTTAAAAATAGAGGTTGATAATTAATAACTCCTTCCTCCTGGCAGCATTTTTGAGGCACTGACAGTATTTCTCATCTCTCCTGGGGATGAGGAGTCAGTTCTGAAAAATTTTGTGAACTAGAAAACCAAAGGGTAAGATCTTTAAGGTCAATGAAAATATTTTTCTTTGATAATTTCAAGCTTCCTGTTTTGATAGGTTTTTTTTCCCTAGAAGCAGCTTAATTCTGAAGAGAGAAGACCTTTTCAACTAAAACCCTGGGATGTCACTGAAGGAAATGTAAAAGCCAAACATTTGGACAATTTGGAAACAGATTTGAAGGGTTTTTTCCAAGTTGAAATAACTGTCTGAACTACCCTTGCCTGCAGAACATTAAATGGGCATTTTCCCACCAGCCCCTTCCCAAGCCCATTGCACAGGGAGTTTCCCAGCTGGCCTGTGTTAGACAGTGGATAGATGCAGAGATGGGGCAAATGAGGTGGAGCCTCATTGGCAGGAGCAGCCTGAACCACTGTGAGACTTCACTGGACTCATGATTTTAATTCTCCCAGGGCACGAGCGCTGTTTGGCTCCAGGATTTCATCTTCCTCCTCAACCACCACCACCATGGTCCCTCAGGAGGCCTTTCAAAGGCATGTGGGTCCCATGGGACATTGAAGATACAGCTGACCTTCTATTACAGCCTTCAAAAGCATCTAGGATGATTAAGAGTCTACCTCCTGATGGGACCTTTAACCACATGGAAGGTGGGATTTCAGCTCTTAAATTGTTTCTGTGCTTTTGAAATAGGCTTGTTGTCTTTGTTGGGGCTGGTTCTTCTTAGTTGCTGGCAGTGGTCAGGGAAGGACATGGGAGTGGGGTCAGGCAGGAGCACGGCTGGAGAGCGATGCCTTTGCAGCATCATGTCCCTTGGTGACACTGGGCTGCTTTCAGGCAGAGCTAAGAGAAAAGGTGTCCTGGAGAAGGATGTAGAGGATGAATGGAGGCACAGACCTGCTTCTGAGAGGTGGCAAATGCACTTTGGCAACACGAATGACTGATAAATCAGAAATAGACTGGCTACTCTCAACCCCCTTGTCTTCAGCAGTGGATCAAGGGATGTCTAGCACTAAACACAGTAGTTACACTTTTTTTCTCCTCTCCAAAGCAGGGCACTGGCTGCTCAACTTGGTCACGTGTTTATGTGTGGCTGCACATTCCCCACCCAGGGCTGCAGAGTTCCCAAAGGCCAGCTGGGTTTTCTGCAGCTCCTTTCCCAACCCGCCGCAGAAGAGACAACCGGGTAAGACTGTCTGTGTGGCACAGGGGTGGGTCTGCAGGCTGTGCTGCCCCACGTGAGAGGGGCCAATGTCCTCCCCACAGTGCTGTGCACAGCCCCTGGCCGGCCTGGCTGCTTTCTTTGGCGTGGCAGGAGCTCTGCTTGGCTCTGGCAAAAGCTGTCTTGACGCTGATGTAATCGAAATCCAGATATCACTGGGGGAGGCTTATCTCCAAACATGCCCAGCCCTGGAGCCAGCACCCCCAGCACGAGCCCACTGCCCGAGGCAGCGCCAGGAGGATTGTGTGGCTGGTGTTGAGTAAGTCAGCTCAAAATGATGGTGTGTAGGCATGCTGCCAAGACTTGGAAAGGAGATTAGGGCTGGAAAAATTTGCCTTGACTGTCAGACCCAAGGGTCTTTGCTGACCTGGAGCATTTGTCTTTAGACTTTGCTCCCTGGAGCGTTCCCAGAGGGCTTCCCTGTCAAGGTAGGGGTAGCAAGAGGGATATGCGACCCAAGTCCTGCCCAAATACCCTCTCTGGGTTGGCTCCAGTGACTCCAAGGAGCCCCAAAGACAGAGGCAATGGAAAGCTTGTTCTAGGAAGCAGACCCAATTTGTATCCTTAATTGGAGCCAAGGGGGAATGTAGGCTTTCGAGTAGGATTGAGGCCAAATGTACATACCAGAAACAAAAGAGAAAAATTCTCCATTGATTTAAAAAACAAAACAAAACAAAAAAACCCTTAAATGCTCAAAACTTGCTCATATTGAGTTGGACAAAAATGGGATGAGCAAAGAGGGATCAGAAGGTAGGAAATTACACCAGTGCTGCACATGTTGAGAAACAGGTTTAGTCCATAGAGTGAGATGTTCAAAAGTTTTGTGAACACTATGAACACCTTTGGTAAAAAATACTGCAGTCATGGTGTGGTGGAAAGGAGCTGCAAAAGGAAGAATGTCAGAGAGGTTACATTAGGTTCAATCAAAAGGTTCAATCTCTGGTGTCCATCCACAGGCAGCAGTGACTCCCTGGGGGTGGAGCATGTGGGATGGAGCGTGTATGCTGTGATCTTTAGAGCCAAGGGTTGCACCTGGCCTGTAGTTTCCAGATAGTTCCCAAAAGACCAGCCTTCTTTAAGCGCGAATCCGTTCCTCCTTCATCCCTCCATGCCATCCTCTGGTGTCAGATCCAGCAGGACCCTGTAGGAGGCAGTCTCTGGATTTGTGTCACTGGCAGTGGCATGGTGCTGATTTTCAGCTCCTTACCCCAAATTTCCAGCAGGAGTGGAAGAAACTTCAACCAGTGCTGTTCTCAGTGGGTCCATGTCAGCAGTCTCTGCACTCCTGGGGGGTTTGTCACTGGGTGTTTCCCCTCATGGTGTCAGGCTGCTTGCAAGGAACTTGCTGGTTGAGTCTTGAGTATGTGCTGGTGCTGCACCTCGTGGTTGGGCTCAGACTTCCCTGCTCTCCCACTAACCTGCTCCTTCCACCCCAATTGTTTTTGCAGACCGCGTCAATAATCGAATGTGCAGAGGTAGCAGGGCACGGATCTGTGTCTGAGCCCTGCTCACATTCAGTACCCCGAGAGGGAAGAGAAGTGGGGGGGAAGGCTTTTATCCCCTTTTTAAAAGCAGGAACATGGGATGTGCATTAGGCTTTCTTCTTCAGAGAGTATTCCTGCCTTTCTCCTCTCGCAGCTGTCCCTGGACGCGCGCACCCCGCGCCCCTCCCCGCGCATTCCTGCACAAACCCCTTTTGTTCGCTGCCCTCAGCCAATATCCAGGCAGCAACAGCAGCCCAGATGTTCCCTATCAAACTCCGAGCCATGCCAACAAACTTTGGCACACATGAAAGTGCGCTGAGGAATGGGCCTCCGCAAATACCGTTTCTTTTTTTTCCCCCCACCCCTCCATTCCTGTAAGTATTTTTAAATGTTAATGGCTTCCACGCCGGGACAGCCGGCGGGGGGCTGCCAAGCCGGGCTCGGGGGCGTCTGGCAAATTAGTGGTTCAGGTATCCCCGGCGCCTCGGCGGGGCTGTGCTGACCTTGAGCCCCTGCTCTGCTTTCCCCAGTGGCTTTCCAAGGCCAGGGCTGAGCCGGTGCTGTGTTCCCGTGGGCAGTGCTGTTTGGAGGCAGTGACCCGCAGCCCAGCCCGCGGTGGGGAATGCAGGCAATGCCTTGTGGGCGATTTGCTGTGAGTCTGTTTTCTCCTCGCACTGTCAGGGCTGGTTTGTGACGACCTAGAAAAGCACAGTTCAAGATGCTGCGGGGGCTGAGTGGCCCCTTTAGGCTTGGCTTTGCCACAGTCCCAGTGCTTGGTGGGTGTGGAAGTGAGTTGGGTTTTTGGCTGGTGTGGGATGTAGTTTTTCCTCATCTCTTTCTCAGCATCTTCCCTGCAGGCATTTCCTGCCGCTGTCATTCAGCTGTGAGCCCTGAGTCATGGTGCAGATGGAGCCACTGTGCTGACCAGGAGCACTGTGGGCACCACAAGCTGACAGAGGTGACCAGGAGGAGCAGGAGCTGAAGAACAGCCTGGCCAAGACTCAGCTCTACAAACCATAATCGAGCTGGCTTTGGCCACAGGCAGATGGGTGAGTGCACAAGTGAAAACTTTCCTCTGCCCACATGAGTAGAAAATCTGCTTCTACTGAGTAAAACACAATCCTCAGGCTGTGCATGGATATGCTTCAATGGAAGCACCCTAATGTTGCACCCTGATGTGTAGATGTGGTTACAAGCTGCTGCAGGTGGGAGCTGCCACCCCTTTATGCTCTTGTGCAGGCTCAGCTCTGCCCTTTGCTGCAGATGTTTCTCCTCCCATCTCAAACAGCAGAGCCATGTCCCACCTCTCCATCTCCACCACTGAATCCCAGGAGGTCAGTGCCAGATTTGGTACCTACCACCCTAACTGTGGAGAGACAGCCTTGGAGAGGAGACAGCTGAACAAAGCAAAGGCCCTTTTTGACAGAGATCCATTCTCATCTAATTTAAACGTTTGTTTCAGCACCAAGGCTCTTCAAAGACTGCCTGAACTCCTTTTTACCCATCCACTATAATGGCAGCGATTTATTTTTTCACTCCTCTCTCACACTGAAAAGATTGAAGCATTTTTACTCAAATTAAAAACAAAAAAAAAAAAAAAAAAAAAAAAAAAAGAAAAAAGAATTCCTATCTGGATGAAGACCAGGGCTTGCAAAGTTTCTAGGAAGAGTGGTGAACCTCTCTTCCTGGCAGTGTGCTTATCTGAGATCATCTCCTTGAGGAGTTTGCCAAGATTTCCACAAGAAGGGATGGCACATTGTCTGCCTCCTCCTCTCAGCCAAATTCACTATGAGGTCCCAGGGGAGGGAGAACAGCTCAATTCCAGCCTGGAGTTGAATGGAGAGGAAGCAATGATTTTGGAGAGGTTCAGAGGAACAATTAGTAATGCACTCAATAGCCAGGAGTGCGGAAGGGAGAGGAAAGGGGTTTGCACAATCCAAGCACAGGAGACAGCTCTGGCTACAAGGACATGCTCTGATGGGCAGCAGTGAGCTCCTGTGGAGGGGCCTGACTGGGTGAACTGGACTGGATGAGGGCAGGAGCCATTTCCAGAGACATCCTCCCCATCCCCAGGCTTGTGCCTCTTGCACTGGTGACAGAGATCCTCAAAAGACAGTGTCAGCTGCACCCTCTGTATCCTTGTCCTGGCCGTGGACCTCGGAAAATAAATGCAACCTTTGAGAAAGGGTTAAGATAAAGAGGTGGTGGAAGAAAAATGGTCTGAGCCGATGAAAACCCCCTCTCTGGAGGGAGAGAGAGAGAAAGGGGAAAAAGACTGTGGTTAGTTTTTTTACAATGGATTTGCAGAGACCATTTCTAGAAAGTGGGAGAAATTGAGCTCCAGTCTCTGGTTCCCTTCATTAAGAAGGGAAGGCGGCACCACTGAATTTGCCATTAAAATAGTAGTAATAATCGTAATAAAAAACATAGCCCCCAGATTATCCTATTTTAAAATAAAATAAAGTATAAAATCAAGAGGTAGCTGCCATTTCACATGTGGTCTGGTTTAAATCCTGGGAGCAACGTGGCCCCTGAGATCTAACCTGTTGGAGTAGATTCCCGCTGTGTTCAAAGGCAATGGCAAACCCTTGAATTTGCTTTCAAACTTGGGCTGGGGCTGCTAAAGTTTTTTTGAAGCCCTGAGCAAGTTGAGGAAGATCTTTTCATGATCAAGCAGTCTGTGGGAAAAATATATTGGTAGGCTTGCATGGAGGGAACAGTTTGGGATATGAGGCAAGTCTCTCTCCAGATGCTCTCTGGATTGTTTTGTGGCTTATGCAGAAAGTCTGCAATCTTTGGGGCTTCACATAAAACCTGGAGGACAAAGGTCTTTCCTGTAAGCACAGACAGAGTTAGATTCCCCAAATGAGGCCAATTTCAGCAGTTGATCTTCATTTAACACTCCCAAGCCAGATGAAAAATTGCAGACTGAATCTGACCATGTGTACTTCGGAGGGTTTTCTAGTTGCTGGTGCACAGGTGTTGCTCCAGGGAGGATGCAGACGTACCCTGACAGACACTGGCTCAATAATCCTGCTTTTCTGAGCTGATAGTCCATATTGGATTCAAAGGCAATGCTGGCTTAGTCTCAAAACTCAGGATATCTGTTTGTCCTCCCCAGTTCATCTTCAGTTTCTCCGTTTGTGAGCGCATTGCTACACTGAGCACGTGGACAGGGATTGCAGAGCCTTTTCTCCTGCTAGGAGAGGGATCTGGAAACAATTACAAGCTGCTCATGCTTAATCACTCGGGTAAATCTTAAATGCCTGTCTTAATATTTTGCAGGACTGAAGATGGCATCTGAATTTTTGTGGTGTGCAGGTTACACAGCAGAGCACACAGACTTTGACAGTTTTGCTCTGTGCATGTTTCAGGGGTCCTGAGGACCCCACAGCTTCTATGAAATTCAGGTACAATTTCAAAGGAAAACTAAAATACAAAGGGGGGAAAAAAGACCCCAAAGTATTTGCCTGATATTTGTACAAATTGTCAGCTCAGTCATGTTCTTATGAACCTTTGCTGAACCTGACCATTTGTATCTCAAACTGAACAAGAAGAGAGTACTAAAAGAATTTAAAATATAAAAATAAAAAATGAAATGCCCTGTGAAAATGAAGACAACCAAAATAACTCACAAATCCAGGCTGAAGTCAGTCAATGACAAGACAAAACAATAGAAGTCCTTCTTTCCTTCCTTAAATATTGAAATGTTTCACTTCGGCATTTTCAGGGTGAAGCAGATTACTTTATTGAACATCATTTAGTTTGAAGCTTTCTTTTTTGTTTTTATTTTCAATGGACTTAAATTTAAAAGGAAGTGAGTTGTGTGTTTTTGCTTGACTTTTAAAAAAGATTAAATAGTCTCCAAGCAAACCAGAATATTTTGTTACTGGTCAAGCAAAATGGTTTTGGTTGACCCAAAATGAATTGAGATGTTCTCATTATATTAAGTCTTTCCTATTCAGCTCAGTTCCAAAACCAGAATTTTCCACCACCAGAAGAAACCAGTCATCCTTGTTTTCACCTTCCTGCTGCAGCAGTAAAGGTCTAATTTGGGTTGCTCCTGTTTTAATCAGAGCTTGCTTTATTAACCTCTCTATTTACTGCAGGCTGAGGTCTGTGATATTAGTGTTTGTAGCCAGGGTGTGGTACAGATCACTCTCCAGCTATCTCAGATACCTCACCAAGGAGCTGCTAAGCCTCCCTGGCCATCAGCCTGCTTATTTACAGGCTTTATAGCTATGGTTCAAACCCTGCCAGTGACACCAACACTTGGAAATCATCATTAGTGTGTGGCCCTAGTAAGTCTGTGGGTGTCAGCTGGGTGTGCAGTCATGGTAGTATTCAAAAACTAAAGAAAACACTCTCCTCCCACAGAAACCGCTGAAAAACAACTTCTACACAAACATTGTGAAAGGCAGCAACTGACTGGTGGGGAGGACTTTCCAAAGCCATGGAAGGAAGTTACCTACTAAAGCCTCGATAAGAGCTAAGCCCTCTTAACTCAGCGATCCTTTGAAAGCCTCCTCCCAGCCCAGCCTCAGCGAGGAACCCTTCACTGACATCATCCATAAACAGGTGGGGGTTTATATCTCTTTTGTGTGTGCTTGTTACAGGGAGAAAGCATCCACATTCCCTGAACTTTATTGCAGGAAAGACACAATGTTTCATCTTAAGGACTTCCAAATCGTTGCAGGCATTGTCTGTGGGGCGGCCAGTGGCCAGGGCTGCAGGTGGGAGCAGGTCATCCCTCGGAGCTCTCTGGGTGCTCTCTGAAGCACAGGCCCTCCAGACATGGGGCACCACAGGTGCTGCTTCTTCAGGGTGATGCTGGAGTGCTGCACCCAAAATTGGCCGTGCTGTCTCAGAGCTCCTGTTTATAGTGCTGAGGATAACCCGGCTAAACTTGGGCTCCCTTCACCTCTCAGGCAGCTGAGGGGATGCTGAGGTCCTAACCCTGCACATCTGTCTGTTGTAGCTTAAGTGTTTGCAGGATGGGGAGGGGAATTAAGATTATGTGTGTCCTACAGCTTGCTGGTCTCCAAATAGGTTCCTTGGTTGTTCTTTTTTTTCTTCTTTATGTTTGTGTTACAGACACCTCCAAAGACCCTGAATAAGGAGGAGATGGCTGTGCTCTGGACAAGGCTCCACAGAGAAATATCTGGTATCTTACTGCAAGGATGCAGGAAAGGTGAGAGGATGGCTTGGTTTGCAAATAGGCAGGTGCTGTCACACATCCTTCTTTGGCACTGAACACGTGGCCTAACCTGGTGTCCCTTCAACCACCTGGGCTGAAAACGAGCCAAACCAGTGTGCACTGATTCCATGCTGTGCCTTCACACAAACAACAGCATTTCTGGGGTGCCCTGTGGGGATGCAGCAGGATGGGAGCAGTGTCCCACCCCACTGCCTGAGGATCACCTGCATTTCACTTGCAGAAGGGAGTTGTCTCAGCCCAGTGTGCTGTGTTGCAGTGGTGCAGAGGTGGGAAAGAGGAGGGGACAACATCCTCCACCATGTGGCTTGAGAAGCTGGAAGGAGAGACATGAACTGGCTGGGCTCAGCTGTCACATTGGTGCTGACTGGCACTTTATGGTAGGAAAGTGATTTTCACATCATGTAATGCTCTACTGCAAATACATATTACAAGCAGTGCTGGCTCTTGGGTTTGGCAACCATCTGTCCCTCTGTCTTGCTGTGAAAAGACAAAGATTTCCCACAGAGACTCTTGCAGGGGTGGCAGGAGCTGCACAGCTGATGGCACTGGAAGTGGTGCAGCTGGTGGTGCAGATGTGCATGCCCAAGGGGAGGATGATGGGGCTGTGACAGCAGCAGGACGAAGTGGGAATGGTTTGGGAAGTACCACTGTCATGGGAACAAGGCTGGGAGAGGTGTCAGGAGCTGGCCAGTTCTCAGCTGGCAGCAGCACACCCCAAGGGATGTGGGTTGTCTCTAATGGGACAACATAAGTGATGCAGCAGAACAAGGTCAAAAATGTTGCTCAGCAGCCTGAACCCATGAGGGGTCTGGGAGCCTCCCTCTCTCCTCTGGAGCCTGTGTGGGGATCCACACACCCGGAATCTCCAAAACGTGCATCTTGCTGTCCCGGGGCTGCACTGATCTTTCCTCTGCCTTGCCCAGCAGATGTTTGTTGTTAAAAATACCTGAATGGAGACTCTGTGGTGGTCTTGAGTCAATTCTCTCCACCTTTTGCTGCCCTGGCTCATCTCTCGCCTGAGTCTCGCTTTCTTCTTCACCTATCCACCACGGGCACTGAAAACACATTTCCCCTGTCTCTTTACAGCTGTGTTTTATATATTTAAAGGCTATTATCATGTCTTCTCCCCCACACTTCTCTCCCATCCAGACTAAACAACCTCAGCTCATTCTCTTGAGCGTGTAACAACAATAAGTTTGTTTGGTGAAAACTCAATTTGTTTAGTGCAGTGGTTCTAACCACTCAAGTTATGCCAAAGATAACAAACATTTAGCAAATTTCTCTTCAAATCTTTAATTTTATCAACTGTTTTGACAGTTAGATTACAATTTTTACACAAAGAGTTAGAATGAAAGCAATTGCTTTCTAGTTTTTCTGTATAAACATTTGAATTATGACTTTCACATTAGGCAATGCAATTAAAAGCATTATAGAACTGTCATGAAGTATTTAACTTGGGGTTATAAAAAGTATTATTTTAATGATGTTTAAAAACTATTTAGAAAGTATCTTTTTAAAGTCATTAGCTACAACAATATTTCTTTAGCTATACAAAAACATGTATCAATAATTACTCATTTCCACTTCTTTCACTGCTCAGCGCTGGTTTTCCCAGCCAAAATGGTAAATTTATAATCTTCAGGATATTTCTGGTAGTAATGAAGTTTTGTTTTTTTTTAATTTTACCAGCTTTTTTTTTAAGGTGCTTTTAATTAGCGAGCTTTTATTCCTGTTTAAGATTTTTTTTCATGCAAATAATTTAAGATGAGGAGTTACTACAGAATATTTTTGTCTATGTGGAAAAATGAGGTGAGAAAGACTCCAAAAATGTCAGTAGGAATGTTAATTGTTTGGTTTTTTTTTTTTTAAGAAAACATTTATATTGCACGCTGAGCTTTCTGCCAGTTCAGATGTGATTTTCTGAAAGCCTAACTCATCTTAAGGGAAAAGCTCAAAAGCTGAAACAAGAAAACATGAGGTGGGAGCCTTAAAAGCCGAGATGTTTGTAGGCTCAGCTTCAAAGCAAACATATCACTGTAACCAGAGGTGTCCTGGACAAACATGCTGCTCTCCCCACCCAGCTCTGCTGGTCACCAGCCCTGTGTGGTGCGGGGTCCCCGTGGGAACACCTCACCCCAGTTTGGCCGCTGACAGCCCCAGGTACCCTTGGGAAGGGAAAAGGGGTATCTGCAGGTCTGGATGGGGAATTTGCAGCCTGCTGGAGTCCGTGGCAAAAATCAGACAATTTCTGCAGCCCTGTTCTATCTTCCTGTTCCATCCCTCTGGCTGCAGTGGGACTTCGGTCCAGCCCCACAGGTGCCATGGACAGCCCTGAGAGAGATCTGCTGGGAGCACTGCTAGGACATATCCCCACTTTCCCTGGGACCTGAGGAGCAAAATTTGGACCTTTTAAAGTAAAACAGCTGTGAGTTCAAACCACAGCCTTAGACCAGGGGTCAGGACTTTACCCCTAAGGTCTCTGTGAAAGGTAACTCAGAGGAAGCAAAGCCACAGACTTAAAGTTGCTGTGTAAGTCTGCCTCTTCACTAGAAAATGTGTACAGAGCCACAAATCAAAAGATGTTGAAAACCTTTGGTTTATATGGTTTAAAAAGCAGGTTTCTGATGTAGGTTTTTTCACTCAATACCTCTTTATGTAAGTGGATTTTTGTTTCCTTCTATGAAATTCTTACAAACCAAAAGACTGCCTTGGTCCCAGAAATGACAGTGCTGACTTAATCCCACTTACCAGGCAGTGAAAGAGAACAGAAGCTGAGGAGAAGGAATAGTGCTAGGGTTTTTTTAATTCAGTTTTTTCGCCTTACTCCAGAATGAGAATAATTCATTTTCCAGCAGAAACACTGCTTCCATTAGATGTACCTGCATTTTTGCATAACTCCTCAAGCCAGCCCATTGCAGTAGGGCCAGTAACTGCAGGATAACACTGGGGTTACATTCTTAAAGTGTTTCTGGGGTTTGAATCACTGGTACGGTGCTCACACAGTGCCATGGCTCATCTGGACATGGTGGTTCTTCCCAAGCCAGCCTGTGTTATGATCTGGTAAAAGATGGGATAACATCGGCACAAGATACAGTGGATGGATACAGTTTGGATGGATACAATAGATACAAGTTTAATAGTACAAGTTAGAAAGAGGACTAAATTGATTTAGGAATTTTTGGCTGTGTTATTTTCACAATGTTTTATCCTCATGTCTCTTTAATTAGATGTCAGAGTCCTTGGAAGCTCATGATAGGGTCTGAAACACAAGCAGAAGGGAAACTTCCCTACACAAGTCTCACATTAGGGCTCAATCCTCTCCTGGGAAAATGTTGCTTTGTGTGTTAGTGTGACAGCGTGCAGAGCAGTGCAAGAATCAAGTTAAAAATATATTATCTAAGTCGGGGAGCCCCTTGATGGAAGAGCTTATTTGGCTCTTAAAACCCTCCAAAATTTTCAGTATGAAACCGATGCAAATTGAAGTTATGTCCTGGTACAAATTGCATCTGTCCCGGGTTGAAATGTCATCTGAGGTCTGACCCTGAGGTCTGACCTGGGGAGCCCAATTTGCCAGCCTGTGATGACATTTCCACGCTGATTTGGGAACTGCAAGAGAAGAGATGTTTCTGTGATCTGTTGGTGCTCCCTGCTTCTGGAATCACCAGACTCCAGGCCAATTAGACCACGAGAAAACGGATGCAGCAGTCATGGAGGTCTCCAGGTCTGTTAGTGAGGGAGCTCTTGAAGCAGGACTCAAATCCAGATACAGGACTCAAATCCAGCCCCAGATGTAGCAGGAAAGTTTGTGTTGTTCCCGGGGATATTGGTCCAGGAGATGGGAAAGTTTTCTGTTTTCTCTTCTTGCCTTTTCAGCCTGCATTTTAGCAAAATTTGCTTGGAAAACACTTTATTCCTAGGTGGCAAATGTTCAGTGCCATGTTCTGCTCACAGGACTTTAAACAGCCAGAGAACATGGTCAGCCTGTGTTTTCTAAACCTGCTGTTGGTAAATGCTCCATGAAATGACTTCACTGGGCTGTAATTGTTCCTGGAGCAAGCTGGCCCAAAGGCCAGCAATTAAACCTTTGGCTGATGGAAGCTGTTAGCATGGATTGCTGCTTTGCCTATGGCATTCTAGTTAACAACTCCAAACTCTTTATACTTTTTCTATAAAACACGTGGGAGCTCTGTGCCTGGAATATCTGTGGCAGTAAAGTGAACATGGTGCTTCACTTCTGTTCATAGCACTAAAACTTGGAAGAGAAGAAAGAGTCAAAGTTCAAGAAGTATGTGTTTGTACTTCATGAAGCACATTCAGTTGATATCTGTGGGTTTGGTGCAGCCCCTTACTGTGTTTTAGAGATCAGAACAGGTTTAGATTCATGACTCTTATAAGGGCATCTAAAAGGGAATTAGGTGCCCACACTTTGTTGTAAGTCAACCCTTGCTGGGCTGGCCAACACTGTTCCATTGTAAAATTCAAGCTGACACCTGGTTCTGCCATCTGGACTCCCTGGAGTCTGAGAGTGTTTGAGTCAAAGTTGGATCATGGCTCTCCTGTGCTCAGTCAGGTTTCCCAGAGGAAACCATAATCCTGTCTGAAGGGCCACTCAGCATCCCTCTGCCCCAGGCTCATCCAGGAAGGACTTCCTGGATGAGATAACCGTGCTCTCCTCCTCTGCTGGATGCCTGCAACGCTTCTGCTCCGCATCAAGGCCTCCAGCTGAGCTGCAGGTGAACAAAGGTGGCACTTGTGTTCTCCAAAGGCACTCACTGGGCAAAATCCCATCAGAAACACTTAATGCTTGCCAGTTCAGCACCGTCCCTCCCCCCCCCCATCCAGGGCTGGTATTTATGGGATGTGTTAGTCATGCAGGAGCTGCTGGAAGTGCTGCCGCAGTAAATTGCAGTGTCATCCATGGCCATCAAGTTATGGGCTTGCTTTGGGAGCTCCAGAGCTTGACTAATCCCTTACAGATTGGAGTCGGGGAGGGATGTGGTCAGGCACTGGAAATGTCCCTGTTTTACTGCTGATGATGTATTATTGAAGCCCGCAGGCCCCTGGGCTGCTGCAGCTAAGCTGGGGGCTCGTGCCTTTGTGCTCATGGTGGGAAGGGAGCTCATCCACAGGGCCTCTGACAGGATTAAAGCAGCCACAGGAGTTTGGGAGGGAAGGGAAAAGGCTTCTTTTCGTGGATACTGAGGGATGCTGCTGTTCGTTGTGGGATCTTTTGAGTTTATACCTAAGGATGGGAGCGTGTATGTGCAACCTTGTGCATAATGGTCAGAGCAGACTTTCAGAAACATCAGCGTGGGCAAAATAATACTTTTCATTGCTGGCCTTCCAGTACTTAAAGGCAGCTTATAAGAAAAGAGAGAGCGACTTTTTACATGGGCAGACTGTGACGGGGCAAGGGGGAATGGTTTTAAATGAAAAGAGATTTAGATTAGGTATTAGGAAAAAATTCTTCCCTGTGAGGGTGGTGAGGCCCTGGCACAGGTTGCCCAGATCAGCTGTGGCTGCCCCATCCCTGGAAGTGTTCAAGGCCAGGTTGGACGGGGCTTGGAGCAACCTGGGACAGTGGAAGGTGTCCCAGCCCATGGCAGGGGGTGGAATGAGATGAGCTTTAATTTCCCTTCCAGCCCCCGAAGCACTCTGGGATTCCATGATTTCCTCACAGTGGTGTCACTGGAACTTTAACTACACTCGCTGGAGCAGGATTTCTCCTGCTCTTATTTACATTAATTACAGATTATAAATGACCGGGGCGGTGTGTCTGGAGACTGTAATGCTCCCTGAAGTTTGCTTTATTTGGGTGCGGCTTCCCCTCTCCATAAACCTCATTAGCCGTGTTCGGTCACAGGTCGGATTCGATCATCTCAGAGGTCTTTTCCAACCTAGTTGATTCCGTGCTTCTTTACGGCACTGTGTTCTCAGGAGCCCCGGGGCTGTGCCCAGGGCAGCTTTCCCCGGAGCACGGACGACCCGCATCCCCTCGCAGCCCTCCCCTCCTCCTTCCCCCCGCTCACGCCGCCATCTTGCCCGCCCCGCCCCCGCGGCGGCGGCGCGAGGCCCCCGGCCGGGCTGTCCGCGGCGTTCGCCGGCGGCGGCGGCGGGGCAGCCCCGGCCCTGCGCGGCGGGAGGAGGGAGCGCCATGGCCGAGGCCTGGGCCGGCTTCTCGCAGGAGGAGCTGCGGCGGCTGCGGGGGCAGCGCCCAGGTACGCACCGGGCACCGGGGGGCGGCGGCGCGGGGGAGCCCCCCGGGCCTCGGCACCCCCGCAGCTGTACCTGCCTCCCTTCGCCCCTCAGCGCCCTGTGCCCTCAGCCCCTCCGTCCGCACCTTATTCGTCCCCTCAGCCCCTCCATCTACACCTCCTTCCGACCCCTCAGTTCAGCTGGTCTGCCCCCCCATCAAACGCCTGCGCAGCCCCCCGACCCCTCCCGTCCAGCGCCATCTCTCACCCCTCTCGTCATCCTGCCCCTCTCTCTGGACCCTCAGAACCCTTCGGTCGCGTTTCCAGACTCTCCAGGCTCTTGCCCTGCTTCCACATCCCTGCCCACTGCCCCATTCGTGTTCCCAGCCTCCTCTTTGCCTACGTGTCACCTTGTTCTCTGGTTTATGTCCTCGATTTGCCCACCAGGCTGCATGGGACCCTTCCTCAGCCCCAGATCTGCCTCTCCATGATTATCCCAAGAGTTGCCTCTCTCCTGTCGTTCCTCCTTTAGTCCTGCGGTCCAGGCCCCTTATTCCTCCCTCTCCTCATTTAGGAATGCTCATATCCTTTAAAACTCCAGATCCTTGCGCTAGCAAAACATTTCCAGCTTGCTGGGTTTTCCCCCACATTGGCTTTCCATGGCACTCTAGTCGTCTCGTCCTTATGTTGGTTGTGCAGCAGTTGCTTGTCCAGAAAAACTCATTCACAGCTTTTCTGACAATGAGATTTGTTTTTAATCCCGTTTCTCCCTCTCCTGTGATAGAGCTGTTCGAGCCCTCGGAGCAACAGCAGCAGCAGCAGCAGCCTCGCCCCCACACCGGGAACAAGCCTCGGAAGCAGTTGCAGCGGGAAAAAGCCCTCCAGCAGCAATGCCAGAGGCTGGGACTGCAGGGTGGGGCAGCCCCTGTCACTCCGGAGCAGTTGCTCTCTGCACCAAAGCACAAGCCCTGTCATCCTCAGCAGCCAGTGCCAACACCTCGTCCTCCTCCTGCTGGAGATCAAAGGCAAAGTGACAGCCAGGATCAGCAGGAGGAGGTGACACCTTGCAATGGCAGGGACAGTGCCCAGCCCCACCCTGCACAGCCCAGCACCCAAGTGGAGAGAAAGAAAGTGGAATTGTTAGTAAGTCAGTAAAATCTGGGGGTGGGGGCTGTTGCTCTGCGTTGATTCATTCTTTCATTGTGAAGTAAAGTGAACTTTTCTGTGTCCAATTGGAAGGTTTGAGAGATCAAATCATTCCCTCTCCTGTGAGGAAGGACTGAGAGAATTGGGATTGTTCAGCCTGGAAAAGAGAAGGCTTTGGGGTGACCTAATTGTGACCTGAAGGGAGCCCACAAGAAAGATGGAGAGACTATTTGCAAGAGCATGTAGTGACAGGACAAGAGGGAAGGGCGTCCCATTGACAGAGAGTGGGGGTAGATTAGATATTAGGAAAAAAAATCTTCCCTGTGAGGACAGTGAAGCACTGGCACAGGTTGCCAGAGAAGCTGTGGATGCCCCATCCCTGGAAGTGTTCAAGGCCAGGTTGGTCAGGGCTTGGAGCAACCTGGTCTAGTGGAAGGTGTCCCTGCTTGTGGCAGGGGGTGGAATGTGATGATCTTTAAGGTCCCTTCCAACCCAAACCATTCTGTGATTCTATGACCATATTAGATTGCTCTGCATTGGAGCTTTGGTTTTAATCTCTAGTTGGTTTAAACCTGATTGAAGACCAAATTCTGCAGTGTACTCTGCAGAGATGCACTGTGCTGTTTTCAGATAATTTCTTGTGGCAGTGGCACTGCTCATCATGAAGTGCCTGATATGTCTTAATGGTTTATGAAGGTTGGCCTCCAAACTTCCATGCATCATTTGTATTCCCCAAGCAGGGATCAGCAGCTTTCTGGGTGTGGTGAGCCAGACACTGTTCAGCTCCTTTTTGGTGAGGAAAACACCTGGAGCTTTGTTTTGCAGAGACGTTTTTCACGCTGTGAGAGCAAATGACATTTTGCTGCAACAGCCACCTCCTGGATCTGCTGGATTCATCTCAGCCTGGGCGCTTGAATCTACATCTTACTGCAAATATTTCTCTACATGAGTTTTTAGGGATAGGGTGATGAGAAATCTGAAGAGATGTTCTTGTGCAGAAGTGATTGTTAGTAGCTGAGTTACTTGAGTATTTTTAAGCTGAGGGTTCTTCAGAGAGGGCATGAAGAACACAATGGAGTGGGAAAGCAGCAAAGCAGTTTTTTGTTTCTCCTGAATCCTGCCCAGCTGTGTTGTCCCCCCTCACCTGGTCCCATCCTCTGGGGCTGCTTGTATCTCTTAGTAGGCGTAGCTAGGAAAGGGAATCAATATTCTTTCCCTGGTGGCAAAAGTGAATTCTTGTTCTTCCTTGTTGCTGATTTTCATTATGACTTTTATCAGCCTTTCATTTTTATCAGTTTAATTATTTGGGGGCTGTATTGTAAAGCAGGCCTGTGAAAGAATCTGTTTTCTGCAAAAAAACATTTCCAAAAAAGAGGCTGTGTTGGCAGACTGAACAGATGGCAACTTGTAGCAGCCAGTAAGAAACTTGAAACTGCTTCTACCTAGCGGGGAAGCACATCCTTTAAATGAAAAATTCCATCCATTTCTGAAAAAGTGCTCCATGCTCTTTCTTCCAGCAAAGCTGAATTAACCAGCAGCTTATCTGGTTGTGCAGATTTTTGTTATGATCAGCAGATTTCATCTGAAAATGTTTTTATTGCTCTGAATGACTTCTTGCAGGTGATGCTTCTTTCCTTAGAACCGAAGCCTGTTTATTGTTCCTTGGACGTTTTTAGAGTTTACTCCAGGAAATATGATGATGAATATTTGTGTTATTTGGAGAACAGGAAGAGAAATGAACTTTCTGTTAATTTTGATCTTCTTTTCCATGAGCAGGCAGGAGAAATCCCGATGGGAAATCCTCCAGCAAGAGCAGCGGCTGATAGAGGAGAAGAATAAGCGCAAGAAGGCTCTGCTGGCCAGAGCTATTGCTGAGAGGTAACGGGCTGTGCTGCATGGGCTGAGCACGGGCAAGGGGTTACTTTTCATCTGCAGATCTTGATTCAAATGTCACTTTTTCCTCCTCTCCGTGCTCAGTGTGTGCTGCTCCAGAAGTGAGCAGCTGTGAGTGACATCTCCCTTTGATGACAAGTGCTGGCTAAGAAGTTGTGACTAAGCTTTTCACACTTCCAAAGCTGCAGCTCTGTGTGCAGATGGAAAAGTTATTACACAACTTGAGAATTAGCTGAAGTCCTTGAATTTGTTGGTGAGATCATGTTTGGAAGTTGGGATGCTCAGATGCGTATCCCTGTTCTGTTCCTGAATTGGTTTTGCTGGATTTAAGGAAAGTTCATTTGATTCCTAAATTATGATGAGAAACTGTTTGAGCTTTTGACTCTTATGAGTATGTGAAGAGTATTGAAAAGAGAAGATTATCAACTTTAATTTGAAGAAGATACCATTGTACCCCTGGCTGATTAGAAATTATAGCACACGGTCTCATTTGTTGGCTCTTGCTCTTCAGGGGACCAGACTTTAAGGCATTGTGTAGTGATATAGTTTAAGACTACACAGAAGGCAAGGTTTGTAGGGAAGGATGTTGGAACAGCTCATAGCACTGGATCAAGGAAAGTGATGTGAAGCTTTCAGGCTTGCAGTGCTCTCCCAGACGTGTTGTGTTCTGCCCATCAGAGCCCTCGGGTAGCACAAGTGAACACAGCCCATGCTGTGTAGAAGATTCTCTTTAAAGTTCTGAAAATGGTGTTTTCCTTTGCCAGGCAGAGAGAAAACACGAGTGCATTTGTTCTGAGTCACTGTAGGACAGCAAACATGGGTGTGACCATCAGGCTGGGTTCTTCCTCCTGGAAACAAAACCTGAGGAGAGAGAAGAGGACATGGAAAGTGATACCTAGGGAGTTAAATCTGACATTCAAAGTCCTCCCTTGGGCTTTCAGCAATACCACAGGTGTCTTTCCCCTCCACGTGCATCAGCTGGTCTAATGAGAGATGCTGTCACTGCCTGCACAACTAGTCTTGGTTTCAGATACCTACTTTGGCTGTAAAGCAGTGGCTGGGAAGTGTGAATTTGCTGGTGATGATGAGAGTCACTCAGCTTGCTTGGGAGTGAAATCCATCAAAGTTTGCTGCCCTTAGCAACGTTTAGCTTTCAGGACGAGGGAATGAATAGGCTGAGTTGAAAAAGGTTACATAAGGCTTGATTGAAACCCTTTGTGTTTGATGTAAAACTTTCCATTCACTTCATTGGGATTTGGCTGGGCCTTTTGGGAATAATTTTGCAAAATGGAAATCAAGCTTAGGTTAGGTGACTTTTTGGCCCCTACTAACTGGGCTTCTTTGAAAGGGGATATTTGCAGGGCTAAATGCCCTTCCCCTCTCACTTCCCCCCCAAGCCATTTCCTGTTTCCTTACACTGGGAACTACTTAGATACAGCAGCTTCTTGTGTGTTTCCACAGTGAAGAAACACAATCCATTTTAGGCACTTTGATTATAGTCATTACATAATTTTGCCATAGTCCTTTAATAGCAGGCATTTTAGATCCCTGTGGATACTGAAAAAGATCAAAAGCCCTAAACCATAAAGGGGAAACCTTCTGAATAGATCCTAAAGTTGGTTGCTCTGCAAATGAAATGGGGCCTGGTATGTCAAGAAGAGAGGCTTGAAAAGAGGGAGGAAAAAAAGCACATCTTCCTTTTGCAGATCCAAAAGAACTCAAGCCGAAGCAGTGAAACTAAAAAGGATTCAGAAGGAGCTGCAAGCTCTGGATGACATGGTGTCTGCTGACATTGGCATCCTGAGGAACCGCATTGATCAGGCCAGCCTGGAATACTCCTATGCCCGGTAAGTGACAGACAGGGAGGAGGGAACAGGGAATAGGGAATAGCTCTGTCTGAGAGCAGGGAGAAAATGCTGTTTCCTGTCACCAAAGCAGTAATGAAGTTATGTCATTGTAATAACATGTAGTTAAAGCAGTCACAGTCTGGGGGGCTTTCAAATCTTGAGGTAAAAGCATGCTTTTTATTTCCTAGTTTTTCCCTTGGAGTCTGGAAACCGAAGCAGGTTTTCTGACTGCAGAGTGTGCTGTCACGAGACATAAGTAGTGCCTTAACTGTGCAGTTGTCCATAAGCCCTGCTTTATTGTTTCAAGGTTGTTTATTTCTTCTCAGGGGGAAAGAGGTTTTTTCTTGAAAAGTCCTAAAATGAAAGTCCTTTTCAGGCAAACTTGCTTGTTGATGACAGCTCTGGTCCTTTTGGAATCAATGGGACCAATTAAGCTTAAAACATATAATACTGCTGAAGTGCTTTTGGAACTAGGACCAAAAACTGAAGGAAAAAGCAAGCTTTCACCCTTCACAATGTGCCTTTAATCACTCTGGTTCTGATGAGTTCCTTAAATGCAAGAAATTAATTGGAACACCCCATTAGTTGTGGGTAAGCCACAACATCAGTAGATAAACATCGGGATGTTTGTGCAGCCGTTTCCTAAAACAGAAATGTTTGGTTGCGGTTTTGAGTTCACAATTCAATGTGTTAAACGTGCATTTCTCCTTTTGACTTTTGCTACACATTGACCACAGGCCAATAAACATGATAATTAGTCTTTAAAAAATAGCAGTGGTAGCTAAAAAAAATGAAGATTTCTTTAGTGTAATTATAAGTTAAAATATCTAAGATTAACTGTAGTCAGAGTGGCTGATTGCATATGAATACAGAATTTAATATCCTGAAGTGGAAAAGCATTTCAGTGTTTCTAAAACCATTACATGCTCCTGCAAATCTCATACCCAATTTTTGTAATAATGTGTCTATTTGAAATGCTTACTGGCAAAAGAGCACAGAACACGAAGGGCTCTGACATTTGGAAAGCAGTTTTTGATGACAAGAACAAAAGGAGATGCTGGTAGGACAAGTGGATAAAATTTATCAAATTCTTAATGACTTTCATGACCTTAGTCTTTTTGTGAGGGAGGGACTTGGAAATGCAAGTTAGATACTTCCAGTGCTGTAGTTTTCATGTATTGTAAGCCAAAGCCAATTTACTTCTAAATGGTGTCTTTTAAAGCAGATTTTTAGTTCTCGCCTTGTGTTTTAGGGCTAAAACAAAAATCGCTTCAGTGGGTCAAAAAGTGCAATTTTAAATAGTCCTGAGCACATACATAGTTAGGGACATTGGCCAATCGCTGTGGAATTGAATTTTCATAAATATGATGTGAATAATATGTGTGAATTCAGCCCAAAGGTTTAACTGTGCAGACGTTTCCAACATAGTGTTATTAGTTTTTCCATTTCAGGTGCCTGACCTAAAGAAATCTTGACTTTCCTGAGAGGCATATGTAAATGGGCATCCTCTGCCCACTGCAGACACAGCCTTTACATCTGAGTCAAAGTTTTGTGATGATTATATAAAAGAACATATTTGGGAATGCTTTTCTATGTCTTGTTTCCTTCTGTCTCACTAAGCAAAGGATCCTGTCTTTCTGTTGCTTTATAAAACAGCTGGATGCTTTATTCAGCCACCTTACTTACATTAGTTTTGTAAGTGCTCTGTAAGGTGCTTCATGTAGCCGTGCTGCAAAAACCTTTTCCTGATGAGCAAGATTGCACCTATCTGTCTGTTAATTAGAATGAATACACAGATTTACTGATGCAGTGGAAGAAGCATCACTAATGCAGACACCAACCATTAAAGTGCTGGATACTCTCTGTGTGTTAACCTCGATAAATATTTAGAATATTTCCTTTTTGCTATATTTGTCGTGACAGGAAGTGCAAATTGGCAGGAGGTGAGTGTCAGGGGGATGCTTGCAATAAAATTCTACATCTGTCGCCACGCAGAAGTTGTGATCACTTTTGATGTCACGTGCTGCGTCAGTCTCTGCTGCTCCTGATTTTCTGAACATGTCTATGGGTGGCCAGAAGAGTACACTATCCAAATGTCCATATGTATCCATGCTGTGCTCCTTTGAGCATCTGTGTCTGTCGGGGCGTGGTTGGGTTAGAAGAACCCCAAACTGCTGTGCAGTGTTTCGGTTCACTGGGTGGGTGTTCATTACAAGTGTGAAAACTGCAATTTCTGATGGTTTCTTTCTGCTGCTAGTGATGCATCCCTTCGAACAGGCAGCAAAAATGTGTGTTTGTGATTCAGTCTATAGATTTCAGATGAGCAAGTTAACTCTTGGAGTACACAGCAGCAGAGCCTGGAGTGTCCAGAGAAGTTTTGATCAATTCACGCTTATTTTCTTCCCCTTTGCTAACGTAGCAGCACGTCGTGAACAGCTGGCATAACGCACGTTGCATTTCAGGGATGTTTGAAGTGTCTGTCTGTGTGTCAGGCTGTGGAGTGCTTTGAGAATTAACCCACTGGAAATGGTGATGATTTTGCAGGAAGCGGTATGAAAAGGCGGAGTCGGAGTACGTGGCAGCCAAGCTGGACCTCCAGCACAAGACGGAGCTTAAGGAGCACCTCACGGAGCACCTGTGCACCATCATCCAGCAGAACGAGCTCCGCAAGGCCAGGAAGCTGGAGGAGTTAATGCAGCAGCTGGATGTGGAGGCAGATGAGGAAAATCTGGAACTCGAGATCGAGGTGGAGCGGATGCTGCAGCAGCAGGAGGCAGAAGCAGGGAGACAAGGCAGCCAGTCACACAGTCACGCTGCGACAGCGAAGGAGAACCCCACTCCCAGTGGTACAGGGCGGGAGGGCGAGCGTGCCAACCATACTGCTGCTTCTCCTGCTGTTTCTGAACAGGCTCAAAACTCCGGGACCAAATCCCTCTCCAGTATGGACAGACAAACTCAGGCAGTAGATGTGACTTCGGAAAGCTCCCCAGCTTGTTCTGCTACATGACTGCTGGATGGGAGATGAGCCAGTGGTTATGGATGATGTACTCTCTGCAGGCTTGTAGGTTATATCTGGGCTTTGGCAGTACCAGTCACATGCACTTCATTTCCCTTTTCCTTTAATATTGTTTTCAAATTTTAAAGGTGCTTTTTTTTTTTCACAAGACTCCCATTTGGGGTTCACCGTCTGTCATCGTCTTTCCTGGTTTGTGTTCATGTTCTAATGCCCAGCTCTTCACGGGCTTTTATACCTTCCTGAAACAGGACATTTGCGTGTGAACAGTAGGGTTTTTCCAAAGATTTTCAGCCTATTGGTGTCACAGATACCTGTTCTGAGCAGGGTGCAAGAGATAGATATCTACAGAAGAAAAGACCCCTTGATCTGCTTCAGAATGCATTCTGTCCCCTAACATCTGCAATAGGATGTTTTTCTTCCTTTGTATCCATAAGGGATTAGTTTTCAACGGTTTCTTCTGCTGTGAAACCCAAGTGCTTACTTTAATTGCCTTTGTAGATGATACTCTTTCCTCATGGAAAGGAAATTTGCATACTGAGGCAAATTGCAAAGTCAGTTGTAATACCTCATATTTATCACTTTGCCTATTCCTTTCAGATAATGCTGAATCATTACCAAGCTGTACATGGATAGATCTGTTATCTATGAAATCACATCAGCTATGCTTTAAAAAAAATGATGGGTACAGTTTAAGACCCTACAGAATGTAGAAGTAGAAACACACAAAAGAGAGTGTGTTACATTTAAAACTTCCATTGCAAATATTTTCTCTGTTGTAGTTGCCTCGAAGTGCCAATAATTAGCCAGGGATCTTATAGTAAATAATCTCCACTGTATATTGGAAATGAGCCTATTTTTGTATGACATTCAATGCATTTTCTTGCCGGAAAAGCAGGTTTGTACCCCACAAGAAGTTCAGCTGGTTCACTCTGTTGCTGTTGAAAGGCTTTAAAGAGCTATTCCAGGTGGAGAAAGTCTCAGGAATTAGAAGAGGACGTAGGAAAATCTCCCATAGACTGATTGCAGCTGCAAACCGTGGGGAGTTGAGCTCACAGTTATCCGCTTTGTAACATGGAAGTGTGGGAATGGTTCCTGGAATACCTGACCTGAACGTGTCGGTCAGAGTTTATGAATGAGTTGCTGAATGACGCCACCGAGTATATAAATGGGACACTGATTGTCTCTATGGCTTTAACAGTGGAAAAACATGTCACTACATTTCATTTTTATTCTATTAATAAATCAGTGCATCTTGTACGCGGTGTGTTTACTGTTGGTTGTGATATCTGAGACTAATACGTGTATCCAAGACCGTTTTTCCACAGGAGGTGATAAATGGCAGAATCAGATACGTCCTTTGGCAACTCTCTGCCGTGTGAAAGTAAAACCTCAAAAAAGGCTGTTCCAAAACATGGAAATGTATGAAGCAAAGACATGGCAGGATATGGCTTGGCAGGAATCTCTTCAGCTAACTGGCCCAGGGCAGCAGTGGAAAATCTCTCCTGGTGCCTCCCATACACAGGAGAAAGTGGAATAAATATGTTTTCTAGAGAAGCCGCTCATAATTAGGGTTGATTAAAGTTAGAAAACTCCAAAGTAACATTTGAAATACGTATGAAGCATTGCTCTGTGGTTGCTGGTATACTGCATTCACTGGTATTTTGCTGGAAGACCTGAAGCAGAGGATTTGATTTTATTATGAGAAAATTGTGAGTGACTTCCTTTGCTCTGTCTGCAGTTGCAGGACAGCTTGTAGCAACCTGATGATGGTTTTCAGAACTGGATACCAGTAAGTGCAGTAATAATTTAATTGTACCATTCTCTTTTCCATCCTCTGCAGCTGTCCTCAGTTGTTCCTCAAGAGATTCAAAATCCTGTTCCTCATTACAGTTGTGTTAAGCTCGTTGGGGACACACAGCAGAGCTTCTGACAGAAGAGTTGAGTTGCAATGGTATTTACTGGAATCACACGCACTCCATTTTGCATATAATTTGTGGTTCTCTACTAGGCTAAAATGTGGCTAAATTAGTCCTACTCGTTGCACCTCGTTGTCACAGGTAAGATTATTGTCTGAACTCTGAAAATGGCAAAAAATTACAAGTCCAAAGGTCTTTTTGACAACTGCTTAAGAATATGAGTTTCCTAGAATGGAGTAAGTTTATATCCAACAAAATGGCTTAAAAGCTGAAAAATTCTTGTGTACCATCCTGATAGTGCTGGTGCTGTTTCTGCCTGAGAGGGAAGATGCTGTTAGAATCAGCAGGTTCTGTTCTCTGGCGAGTCCCTCGTTGAAGTTCTGGCCAGTTCTGTCTGCCTTTAACTTCTGAGCTTGCAAAATGGAGTGAACTGGCTGGGAGCCACATGAAACAGCCATGTGGGATAACAATAGCAGCCTAGCATTTGGTTGCTCTTGCTGGACAGGGAGCTCAGGAGTTAAACTGTTTGATCTAAGTTATGAAGCCTTTCTGTGACGTGTGATACAAACCACTACCGTGGTGTCAGTTCCACTTTGGAAGTTCTCAAATGTTTTGATGGGTGCCAGTGTGCCGGTTTAACATTCCCCCTGTGCCGGAGCCAGGGAGTCCAGTCGTAATTGTAACAACATGTGTGCTGGTCAGAAATGCCAGGAGATGATTTTGGTGCAACAGAAGGGTTGGGGTTTTTAACTTGTTTTTCCTTGAAGGAAGGAGAACCGTTGGAATTGAGGCTCTCCAAGCAAAAGCCATTTCTCCCTTTGGTAGTGGCTGCTGTGTCTTACAGTGTTTGGATTTGCTGTCCCTGGAGTACACTAAGGGCAGGTGTGCTCTCCACTCCACTGGTGTGTTATATCTCTTCAGAAGAACAGAAAAATAAGAAGTTCAGCACAGATCAAGAATGAATGGGCAGATCTTTCGTGAGGACCTCTTGCACAGGTAGGGGGAGAAGTCTGAGTGTGAAGTGCACTGAGATTGAACACCCCCAGCAGGGAAAATAGAGCAGCATGTGATGTCTGACAGTAACTGCAGGGCTTGTCACAGGGGACTTGCATTCTGCTGTGGCACCGTGGCCATTTCTGTGTTGGACCAACACATTACCATTATGGGATGAACTGGAAAACACCGATGTACACCCCTGTGAGAATGTTACAAAGCACAGTATAATTGTCCGTGTTGCATTTTGGCCAGGATGTCAGGATTAGCACTCCCTCCTCTGTCAAGGAATGTTTAAATGAGCACAGATGGTCATGACTCAGCCTGGGGTTCCCATGGATGTCTACTGCATGGTGTAAAACACTTGGACAACCCCCAATCTGATTGTATATCCAGCCAGATGAAGCTGGGCTCTCAAGAGGTTTGAGCTTGGGGTAGCTTTGTGGGGAGGGACTCAAGTTGTCCATCAGCCATTTGTCTTCCTAATACCTTTTGTGAAGCGTGGAGTTTTTCCTTTGAGCCTGGATCCCACCTGAACTGAATGAGGAAAAACCAATAAGAAGGAAATGTAGTGACTGGTCTAGTGGTTGGGGGTACTGTGTTTCCTGACCAGCTGCATTAAGAACACGCTAGAGAGGATTGCTCATGGAACAGTTAACCTTGGGCAAAGTTCAGGAGCCAAAGAAAGGGGCAGAGCTCCATTGAATTCCCTCCCTTGCTGGGATTCCCTCTGTTCTGTATTTTCTGCTTAGGACAGTAGGATCTATAGGCTTTCTGTTCCTAACACCCTTTTGTCAGGGTTCAAATTTGGATTAGGCCCTTGGGATATGGCTTGTCCCAGCTTGAGGACTGGAGCTTTACCCCACCTTATGTGGGATCTTTGAGCATCTGTGGGTCCTGGGCCAAGCTTGGTACTTTTGTGTGACTCTTTGTAGACACAGTGTCTTGGGTCTCTGTGCTCTGCTCTTGTACATACCATAATTGTGTACAAGGGTTCATGCAGTTACTGAGAGATAGCTAAAATTTTTCTGCAGGCCTGATCCAGCCCAGAAATCTATGCTCAACACTTTGGCATTATATCATGATCCCTTTTCTAATTCCATGGATACAAGCAGGTGTGGTGCATAAAGGGGCAAAGGGTTTTGCCAGTGGCAGTGCAAACAGTGTGTAGATGTGGGCTGGTATTACAGAAACCACATGCTTGTTAAGTGCCCTATTTAGGCTTGCCTGCATGGTCCCATTAAAGCGAGTGTTGGCTCCTTTGATGGGGCACGAGACTGGTTTCCTTCATCATTTCCCCTGATTTATGTCCCAGCAGCAAACTTGGTACAGCAGTGGGGAAAGACCAAGTAACGAGAGACCTTAGCCAAACCTCACCCCCTCGGCATGATAGGACATCAGATCCTTCAAATCCTTGCCTTTGGCAGCCTGTTAGTTACAGGGTTTAAATCATGCCTTTTAAGATGCAGGTAGAGACACTAAAAAGCTTTGGCCTTTCTGAATTAGGGCCTGGATTGTGTAGTTAGAGTCATTTTCTCAATTAGCTAAACATAAATCAGTATAACGAGGCACTTGGGAGCACTGGGCAGGTTTAGTACCTTGTCTCTCCTGCCTCTGTCTGTACCACTCCCACCTGCTTGTTTGGCTGATCAGCCAGTGATTTTATTTTTCCGTGCTGCTAGAGCTGAGCAGTGGGTTTTAATGTCTGAACTGATTTTCACACCTGGCCCATGTGTGCGAGAGGGGAGAACTGGGAGGAATTGCTCTTAGGCAGTAAGCAAAGCAGCCCTCACGTGTGGCAGAGGTTGAACAGCCTCAGCACTCCGTGGCACACCTCCAGGGGAATGGGGACAGTATCCTGTTGAATAGGCAGCGTTGGGTGGTGGCATGAGTGCGGAAAGTCCAGCAGCAGCAGGGATGCTGTTGGATGTGATATCTGGGAGTGGAAAGCACGTGTGGGGGCCAGGCACTGCGTTTGTCCTCTAGAGCTGCGTAGTGAATACATGACTCCCTTTTCCAGGGCTCCACCGTTTAAGGGCTGTGCTGTTTTTTGGAGACTGCTGGATAATGAGTATGGGATAGCTTGCCCTGTACCCAGGTCAGCCCAGTGCTCTAGTGGAGCACTGGAATCCATTTCAGCAGACAGCAAGAAAAAAGCTTGGAGGTTCCTCACAGCAAAGAATGAAACCCTGAGAAATGGAAGAACTCATTTTATGCCTTGTGATGCCATTGAAGTGCATATAAATCATCCAAGGGGAAAGCTGCAGAGTTAAGGACATCCCTTCACTCTGTTGCATGTTTTAGAATGGGGGAGGATGTAGCAAGATGGCAGAATGAAGGAACAGTCACTGTTCCCTCAGACCATGCTCGGGCTGAAGCTGTGGCCCTCCCTAAGTCAGCTTTCAAGGCTTGGAGCTAAGTAAGACACCCAAAAAACCACCCAAAACGACCTTAAATGCTCTGGGGGTGATAAAAGTGAAACATGAGCCATAAATACATCCCTGAATAATGGGCCTCTTTAACTTCCCCATGCAAGGTTTCTTGCTTTTCTTTAGCTGTTGGTAGTGCTGTCAGTGTATCTGCACACATGACACTCTGCTGTGATCCTCTCATGTTCGTGTGATCAGGACTCCTCCACAGGTATGGAGCTCGGTATCCTGCAGATGGTGTGTCAGCAAGCCATGTTATCTCGCTTCCTTCCTTTTTCCATGTGAAAGACACACCCTGTGCACTACCACAGCCTTAGGAGACCATGAGTCCTTGGGCCAGCAAGGATATCCCACTAGAAGTGTTTGTTGACTGCACGTGGTTTGTCTAAAGAGTCACAAACTGGCTGTTCCTCAGTTGTTGGTTTGGGCAACAAACCCCCTGGAGCCCTGTGCTGTGAGCCTGTGCCAAAATCTGTACTGTGTATCCTGCCTTGGGAACATGAGCTAGGTAGAGTGAAACGGCTCTGTCTTTGCAGGCTCCAGTCACTGTCCCCATTCCAGTGTAGACAGATCCTGTGTCCCAAGGAGGGGTTAATGCAATTCAGACATCATCGTCTTCAAAGTTTCCCCAGTTGCATCTGGAGTAGGTTTCTGAGTATCACCCCAAAGCCTCCATCATGTCTTGAATAGTTCTGTAACTGTTTAGGTGGTGACTGGTTGCTGATGGTGCATATTCCATTGTCTGTGGTGCTGATGGTCTCCCAGAGGTTGTGTCTCTGGCTTGGCTGTCGTGTGAGCTGCAGCTGGTCCCACGTTTTGGTGGTTTGCTTCATGGCAGAGAAGCTGATAGTACTTGGCGTGAGGATGTGCTCATAAGGAACCAGGTCCATTCCAGCATTTTCCTAACGTGCTTCCCTGA